GCACTCCAAGTCAAACACTTTGTCCGATAAGTACATCGCTACCCGTCATACTCTGTCGATTGCACCCACGTTAGCGCGAGAAAGCCATTGGCTGCGTTGCAGAGCGCGAGAACCTGAAATTACGTGTCGCCTGGGCGTTGCTAAGACACGCTTCGTTTTGAAATGAGGAATGTGTCCTCGATTCGGCACCTAACGCATCCTGCGCCTGCGCCTTCTCCTACCATCCCTCCCCCCTCTGTGCAACTCGCACTCCCGGCGTGAATTAGATCGCGCGTCAACCCAGGCGGCTCAATGACAGCGCCCATCTCGATGCCGGGACGCGCGGGGCGACGCGCCCAACTCCCCCGCCCCCCGCGTCGGCCACCTCCGCCTGCTCATTGCCCCCTCCCCACCTTGTCACCTTCGTGCAAGGGCCGCGTGAGCGTCTGCGCGGGCGGCGCCGTTCGTTCGGCGACTCGAGAATGCAGATGACGTCGACCGCGAGGCCCCTCAAGGATCCTGGTTTCCTCAAGGAGGGCTACGGAGGGTTAAGCCCGCGCTGGGGCAGATCCCTATTGTCGGGCCGCTGAAGGTGGAACACTCTTCGTTGGGGAGGGGTCAAGTATTCCTTTTCTTGCACTTTGCATTCGGTTGTCTCTGGGTTCCGCATGGGAAATCGAAATTTAGCACGTGCACAAAGGGGTGTCTTTCTTTGTTTAGGGTTCATTATGACAGCGTGTCGACGGCGCTGATGGACCCTCAACCGGCTAGGAAAATCGCCCCCGTGCGAGCTTTCGAGTCCGCCGCCTGGGTCAGATTTCGGCGCCACCGCTGACGCGACGCGCGAGGGCGGGGGCGCGACGGCCAGGGCTGGGGCCCGAGCCCGAGGAGCGCGAGCCCGAGCACGTGCCCGACGTAGAATTGCAGGCGCGCGGCATGCGCACACATTGCCGAATCAGAAATGAAAGGACTTGGAAGAGACAGAGGGCGTGGAGCGGAGCACTTTGAAAACTCCCTAGAGCGGCAATGCATCTGCGCACGATGAGGATGCATTCAGACCACTAAATCGGATTAGCCAGAACACAACGAGCTGGCCGAACTGAACCGACGTGCTGGAGCAGAAGGTCGAACTTTTCGGGGCCTTGGGGAAGTCTGAGAACTCTGGGCCACCTAGGATCTCCACGACCGCGCCCACGAATAGTGGTGGGATGGGGTAAGATCTTTGACCACTCCCCCCCCCGGCGCCCTCCAGAGGGCCTGCGGCCACGAGGGGAGTTTGAAGGTGCACTGGGCTACATGAGCGGCTGCCGAGGGTGGAGTGCGCGGCTGCCGGCGCGGGGGCAGGCCCTGTTCCTGCTGCGCGACGTGCGCTGCGCTGGGGGGGCAGCGTGTCCGAATTCGCGGCGCTGGCGGCGCGGCGTATAGCGCAGCTCCCCAAGGTGCCTGACAGACCAGCGCCTTCCCGGGCGCCCGCGGCTGCGCGGGGCGCCTGCTGTCCGCTCGTCCAACAAAAAACACTGGGCTACACGGTTGTACGACATCGCCGTGGCGAACATCTGCCAAAATTCAGCTCTCCCCGTTCGGCTGCGGGGCCCCCGCTGCAATATTGCCAACAGAAGACATGTAGAAAGCGGTTCGTTCGGCGACGGGTCCTCAATACAATGCGGCCAGGGAGCGTCCCGTTGCTTCGTGTAGCGAAAGCACGGTCGCGCAGCTTGGATTCCTGACCAGGCAAGTTGGATTTCGCTCAGGGAAGTTGGCAGAATCGTCGTTTCGAGTTCGGGCCGACGAGTTCCGACATCAATTCACAAATTTTGCCCGAAGGAGCCCCAAGCGAAAACTACAGTTTCGACGTTTTGAGGTTGCCCGACTCGATGCGACGATCCCGCCTGAGACTTCATCGAAAAAACATTCCGGCCAAAGTCGAAATTCCCAGGCTCAAAGTCTTGATGGCGACTCCACCCAAAACATCCTCCAATGCACCAGTCAAAATCCATTTTTGTTATTACTCGAAATGGCGATTCCACCCAAGATTTCCTCCAAATGTCACTTCGCACCCCGTGGGTTTCAAAGTCGAACAGGGGTCGTCTTGCCGCTCCCAGGCTCAAGCACTCAATAACGTGATGGCCCCTGCCCCCCAGGGAGCATTCGTTCTGAACTCTCTTGGTGGAGCCATGAATTTCCCCGAAATATATCAGGAGTCTGCTGACTGTCTTTGCGGTCGGCCTGGCGGTCGCTAAAGGCCGCCGCCGCTGCGCCGTCAGGGCCCATGGCGTGCTTTTGGTCAGCATGCACCTCCGTGGCCCCGATGTTCTTGAAGTCGCGCCAACATTCCGCCAGCTCCTTCTCCTCGTCCGCTTGACCTGGTCGGCGCCCTTCACTCCCTTCTCGCTGCCTGCCTCCGTGTTCGTAAATCTAGACCTGGTGTGCGTCTTTCTCGTACTCTGTGCTCATCTCCGCGTACGTGTTCTTGACCTGGTGTTTCTCGCTCTTCGCGGTGCTCTGCTGGCACCCTGCGCTCGTCTCCGCTGACTTTCCAGCAAAACTGGCGACATTATCTTCCAAGTTAGCCATTGAGAAAGCACCCGGCGGCGGGGCGGAAGGTCCCCCTGCGTCCTGACTCGGGGCCACACTTCCAGCAAAACGTACGACGTTACCATCCGAATTAGCCACCGGGGATGCTCCCAGCGGCGCGGCGGATGGTCCCCCTGCGTTCTGACCCGAGGCTTCACTGTCAACAAAACGTGCGACGTAACCCTCCAAATTTGCCGCTGAGGGCGTATACCAAGCGGCGGGGCAGAGCCCCCCCCTGCGTTCTGACTCGAGGCGTCCCTGCCATATTCCGCGTTCTTGGTTGCCTTGAGTTTGGCTGTCCAGTCCTTTTTTATCCTCAAGGCCGTCAACGCGTACTGGGAGGCCTTCCACCTTGGCCATCTTTCGCACGTCTTCGCCATCGTGCTACTCAGGTGTTTCCCCGCGGTGGCGCCACATTGCCGGCATAAGTACTTGGCTTGGTGTCTCGACCAGCGTATGGCGTGCGACGAGTGCGATAGGTTGCCTCTCTTGGTGGAGCCACGAATGGGCCAACACTTTCGCAGCGGCGATATCAGGCATACTTCTTGGGGCACTTCGGAATAATTTGGAGCACTTTGCGGTGTTGAGTGTTTGGGGGGCATTTCGATTGTACTTCGGAGCGCTCAGATGTATTATGGGGTTCTAAGACATGAGGAGTGCTTTCAGACAGTTCAGGGTATAAAAGGGATACTCTGGGGGCACTTTGAGCTAAGGGACATTTTGAAGGAGTAAGGGGTACGAAGCGGTCTTCTGAGGAACTTGGGGGCAGCTTGGGGCACCAGGTGTAGTGTGTGGTTAAAGACCTTGGGGTGCTGAAGTTGGGTCATGAGTGCTGAGGGTGCTGAGGGGGGATCTGAGGAACCTTCGGGTGCTGAGGGCGGCCCCGACGGGTACCTGGCTTACTTTCGAGTGGTGAGGGGACACTCACTCGCGGCGGCGGATTCGCGCGTCAGAACAATTGGAATAACGGCTGAGCCTTGCCCGAGCAGAATCATAATAATCATCGCCACAACAGCCAATGCCACAGCGGTTGGTTGAGTCTTGTCATTTCCCTCGTCCTGTCTTCCACCCCCTCTAAGACGAACGCGTTCCACTACTAGCAAAAGGAACGACTCGCCAGTGGCCTGGATTCACCGCGAAGGGTTTACGATTCACTACATCGAGGCAAACGTAATGTTCTGACGTTTGCGAGAGGGCACTTTCCGAGTAGTGGAACGCGCTCGGTGGGCATCCCTCTGCCCCGTACTTCTCCTCCTTCTCCTCGAGAGCGGCGCCGCGCTGGCCAGCGCTCAAGACTCTGCCCGTGATTCAACCCAGGCAACCACGCCGAACTGAACTGGGGAAACCAAGAGGTACCGATACCGCTACCGTCGGAGCGCTGACCTAAGGAACCCAAAATAAGGAACGAGGCCCCTTTTCTCCAGAAGTTGAACTTCGACGTCCCATCGAAAACCTAAGGAAAACCTGCGGCAAACTGTGAAACAATCAAGGAACACCCAGCCCCTCCCAAACGAAAAGGGTTCCTTCTTCAGCGCCCCGACTGTACTCCCCAAACCTCTCCCAGGGTGCGTTCTGACCAGAATTTCGGAGCGCATCCAGCGGTGGCGACGAGGGCCTCCCAGGGGGCTGAGACAGGCGAAAACGAGGGAAAGGTAGCGGTACGGGTGCCTGTTCCTCCTCTGAGAACCGAACGAACGAACCAAACTGGCCGAACCGCCTTGTGGTTTGCCTCTAACTGGACCTTCTGGACAAGACTGGGCTGCGGTCTGAACCAGACTGGCCTAAAACCGACCGGGCTGCACACCGGACAGGGACCGGGCAGGACCAAACCGAGGCCATCATATGAACAGGGCATAGCACGACAGCAAATAGTACGAGCGGGAGTTGGGACACGCAAACTTACAAGAAGAGCGGGATCATGAGCAGTCATCGGAAATCGCTATCCTGCCGCCAGGCACAGAATGCAGTGCCCCCAGGTCCCCTCAAGCTCTCCGCACTGTTCAAGTCGGGCCTGTCCCTCTACAGGAGGAATATTCAAAAATAGTGAAGAAATAGTCTGGGGACGATTCGTTGGGCATTTTTTGATTATTTGAGGTATGTGTTAACTATTATTTCCTAAATCTCCCTGCAGGGGGACACGGCCGACTTAAAGATTGCTGCTTCATAAATGGCAAAGAAATGGCTGCTTTGCTGATGGCCAGGACCGCCGAGATCTGGGCATTCCCAGGCGATCCTGCTCAATTCTTGGAGCCTTCGGGGCGAGACAGAGCAAGAGAAAGAAGTCGCCGAGAAGGAGGACAAGGAGGGAGGAATATGCATCCGAAGAACAGGGATGCGGAGGGAGGGAGGATGCAGGAGGAGCCGCCGAGGGCAAGAGCGACAGGACAGAGGCTGAGGAAGAGGCGGCGAGGGAGGCACGGGATGACAATGAACAGCCCGCCGCGCTCCTCGCCGATCTCGACCGCCTCCTTCGGCTCGAGGTGTTTCTTCAACATCTTGTCCGCGGGGACAAATGCGTCCTTGTTCAGTCCACAGTTGACGAAGAAGCCTTTTGCACACGTCGCGGTGACTATGCCTGAAGGCAGGACCGGTCAGCACCGAACCGAGACATCGGATCGAATCGGTGTGCGCGTGCGCTCCAGATCGGGCCGCATCTGCGCCACACTTGAACGACCTCCATCCCACAAGAAAATGACACAAGCAAACGATCGCATGCCGTGTTACCGTCGTGGCAGAGATCGAGGAGCAAATTGCTACAGAAACCTAATGTCTCGGAGGTCCGCGCGGACTTCTCGAATCGGAACTGGACTCCCCTCGCTGGCGCGCGGCGGCGCCTGAGGCGCCGCCAGGGACGCCCAACGCCGATTAACCCAATCCGAGCGGACCTCAGAGGAAAGATGTTTCTGTACCTTGTTGTTCTTCGAACGGCGATGCAAAACGACCGCACGCTGCTGTCCTGGCAAAGAAGATCCGCATCTCACGGACTCCCGGCTTTCACGCCGTCACGGGGGCGGAACTTACACGGCAATGACGATTGAGCAAGCCGGTGGCCACCGTGCGCGTGCTGACTACCGCGGCGGCTTGACGGCATCGCTGCGCCACCGCTGTAAGGCCATCACTGCTCACGGAAGGTCTGTCTCCTGGCCCTGGAACCCCCAGTCATCCAGCCGCGGGTGTGGTGGCCACTCTTTTGTCCCCGGAGGGAAGCAGCGAATGACCACCAACCCGCTGACGGGTGAGAAATACGCAACCGCACCTAGAAGGAGGAGCATGAGCATAAAGGAAGAGGCAACCATGCTCACACCCATGCGCACAATATGCTCTGGGCATGGCGCACCATCGGTCGCCACCCCACCCAAATCTCAAGCGGGCGCATATCCAGATAACCAAACCTCTACTGACCAGACGAACGCAACACAACACCGCCCAAACACAAAGTGTCGGAGGCTCGCGCGGATGTCTCCGATCCACACTGGACCCCCCTGGCGGCGCCTCCAGCGCCGCCCCTAGGCGCGGTCTGCGCGCCAGGGGGGCTCGTTCCAGCGTGGATATACCTGCGCGGACATCCCGGAAGTTTGTGGTTCTGATGTGGTGTTCCGTTTCGACGGAGCGCGCAGAATCATCAATGTGGACTCACCCCTGGCATGAGGACCTGCGGCGGCATTTGCCAGTGTTTGCCCTGCGGAGCATCGTCGTGGAGCCAGAGAACCGACTCGCATCGGCCGAGAGCTCGGATGCACACCGCGCCACGCAGACCTCGGGACACATATGCCATGAGAGAAGCAGGTCCTAACGGAAATGGGTCCTGGACCCCGAGGCCTTCCCCTGGGACCAATTCTTCATCCTCAGTCGTTTCCTGACGGTCACGGGGCCAGTGGAGGGCCAAAAGAACCCGAAATCGGCGAAATACCTCCAGACCCGTTTCCCTCAGGACCCGTCTGTTTCATGGCGACGCATTGGATCGTCAAGACATCAAAAGAAACAAGATCTGGGGAGACCAAAAGCTTCCCGTACCGCTACTCCCCAGACCTCTCCCAGGGTGCGTTCTGAGCAGCATGTCGAGGAGAATCCAGCAGTGGCGACGAGGGCCTCTCAGGGGGCCCCCAAAAAGGGAAAACGAGGGAAGGGTGATGAAATCGGCACCTTCTCCTCCTCTGAAGATTGGCGACCAGCCGAGATCGATATCGAATCGGAGCGAGGCACCAGGCAGATCTGAGCGAGACATCGCAATCCTTGGGGGGCTGCGAGCCTCACGAATGCAGCTCGCAGAAGTATATGCGCCCATGTTACGTCATCACCTCCGTATAACGTCTCCCAAGCTACTCATGCCCCGCATTGCGCAGGGGTTGGGTACGTCGCCAGGTTAATTTTCCGAAGCTAGAGAGAGGGACCCGTACGGCTTCACCCCAAAGGCGCCCGGACACTGAACGTCGATCGGACCGTTATCCAAGGTTCCAAGGCATATCATTGCTAGCCTCCAGACGCCCCCAACATCGCCCCTAGAGACCCTCCACAGGGCCCCCCGATGGCTCAAGAATGCCCCAAGACGACCCAAGAGGCACCCAAGACTGCCCAAAGAAGCTCAAGACGGGGAACTCTCGAGCTGACATTTCGCGCCCTCCGTCCCAAGATGACCCCAGAGACCGCTGGCAGGCCCCCAAGGGGGCCCCCCAGAAGCCGCATGTGGCCCCCAAGAGGCCGAAATCAAGCCCAAGTTGCCCCCAAAGGCCCCCGAGAGGCTCCCATAACCGCCTCCAACAGGCTTCCGAGAGGCCTCCCACGAGATCCCAAAAGTACCCAAGAGGCATCTGATCTGACCTACATCCCAGAGGGGGTGGCGGGTTGAGCCGAAGGTTGCGATCCGCCGACACCTGTGGCTTGCTACAGGGGTGCGCGGCGTGCCAAATGATGGGTAGTTTGTGGGTACGCTTTAGGGGAAAAACCCGATAACTCGTCTCCAAGACGGCCAAAATGATTCCAGAATGCCTCCAAGACGGCTAAGATGATCTCAAGAGGAGAGCACAATGTTGGTCCCGAAATGCCTCCAGGACGGCCCAAGATCCCTCCATACGGCCCACGAAGCCCCCACGACGTCCCAAGAGAGCGCCAGGATGACGTCCAGGAGGCCGAACTCGTTGATCGCAATTGTTTCAATATTTCTAGCGTTCTCGCCTTCCCGGGCTTCCGACGCTGAGACGCACCAAGACGGCCACATAAGCCTCCAAAATCGCCCCAAGACGGCGCAAGAGACCCCCCGAGAGGCCCGCAAGATGATGGCCCAAAAGAGCCCCAAGACGGCCCAAGACGTCCCCAAGACGGCACCATAGACCCCCACGACGGCCCTCAAGCGCCCAAAGAGGGACCCACGACTGTCCAGACAGGGCCCCAAGACGGCCTCCGAAGGCCAAGAGGACTGACAGAGATCCCCCCAAAAAATTCAAGAGGCTCCAGGAGGCCCCCTAAGAGGCGCCCGGAGGCCCCGAAAGGCCCCCAGGAGGCCCCATGAGGGCCTCAAGACCTATTTTTCCTCCTCCTCCTCCTCCTCCTCCTCCTCCTCCCTCTCCTCCATGTTCTCTTCCTCTCTTAGGGGTTTCCCCTCAAGGGTCCGACAACTTGCTGGGTGAACACGTATTCTGGCACCTTGGCCAGACTTCGGCCTTACGTTTGGCCACGGGGGCGTCTCCAAATGGCAAGGGGCAGTCGGTGTCTTGGAGTCCTATGACTATTTCTCAACGATCTGGAGGGCGGGGGAATCCCCCTCCCACCAAACCAGACCCGCCCGATTCCCAGTCTGGCAGAATGTCCCCCAGGACTTCCGGGCGGTTCTTTTGATGGGATTATAAGATGCAGCGGGGGGCGGGGGGAGGTTGGCCAAACGGCTGCGCGAGAGCCGAAGGCGGCCCAGAAACCCACCAAACCACCGACGGCGGCCCAAATGACCCCCTCAAAAAGCCCTACAAACGCAGATGACATTGTGCATTGTTTCCTTGTTTTGTGTTAGACGGTTTGATACGTGTTTCTTTGGTTCTCCAAGCATCCGAGACCACCCAAGAGGCATCGCAAATCGTCCAGAACGAGCTAACCTGCTTGCATCTCAGAAGAGCCACATGAAGACGGCCCAACAGGACCCCAATAGTCAAGATGACCCGAAGGGAGCCCCATGACGGCCCGAGATTGCCCCAATATGCCCCCCGAAACACTCCCAATCGTGACCGCGGTTCGCAGCAAGGTGGCCCGAGGAAGCCCCCTGAGGCCCCCAAAGGGCACCCAGGAGGCATCCAGAAGCCCACAAGAAGCCCCTAAGACTGTCTCGCCAGGCCTCAGAGAGGTCTTCCAAGGAGGAACCTCAGCAACAAAAAATACTGATGAGGATGCGGCAGGGCTCGTCGAAGACGACGAAAACGGCAACACTGAAGTATAGCTTACTTGATTGCACGTACCTGTCGCCCTAATTTCGTCCAGAGGCCAAAATTGAAGGACCCAGATGAACGTCACGAAGCGCCAATGCAGTTTTGTAGTTCCCTGTGAATGTGTGTATGTATACACACCTCTATATATGTATACATGTACGTATGTGTATGTGTATGGGCCTTGTACTGTCTACAGTTCGCTACGTGTACAAAACTATTTATCTTATACGCATGTGAATGCGAATGTTACTAGACCGACGCGCGCGCTTCCCGTACGCTTAGCTTCTAGCATGCACCTTCCCTTGATAAGACTATGAGCTGCTCACACATGCACGCGCGTACGCACATACCCGCAACTATCTTTGGCAAGACTTGAACATGTAGCACAGACTCAAACTGAACCGATACACAGCACCGTCAGAGAAACGCCAACGCCGAGGTAATGCGAAATCATATGTATCAGTGCAGTTATGTGTGATGAGCGCAAGTCTCTGTGTGCGATGGCATTGACATGGCGATGCACATTGCCACGTAAGGGAAACGCAACGACAATGCATCGTAATGCAACACAGCGCACAACCTGTCCAGGAACACTTAGCAACGCAACTGCACGGCAACGCAATGTAATTAGCGCACATCAGTGCAAAGAGGAGCACTATACTGCAAACAAATACATTGCAAAACCCCGTTGAACAAAACATATGCAATGAACAACCGTACAATACAATGCAATGCAACGAACCCGACAACCCAGCGAACGTGAAGGTCGGACAACGCAAAGATGAATCGTCAAATGAAAAAGCCATGGGAACCTGAGCTCGGGGGCGTAGACGCCACCGGGGCTCTTGCACAGAGGGAAAGAGGGATTGGGGAGGGAAGAACGATGAAGCAGAAGCGAGAAAACATATTGCAGCAATGACGAGACAAGAACCAGGTAGGAAGACGGCGGAAAGAGGAGCGGAGGAAAGGGAAGAAGGAGGGCGGGATGGAATAATTAGCACAAAGGAAAATAGGAGGGAGGATGAACAGGGAAAGGCGAGGAGCGAGGGAATAAGAAGGAGAGATGGGAGAGCTAGGATACGCTCCTGAGGCTCTCGTGGACTCCTCAAAACCATCTCTGACCTCATTTGGAAACGTCGTATGACTGTCAAGGGTCCCTTCCGACGGCAGCTTGGAAACCGACAGGGCCCCCTTTGGCTTTCGTTGTGCAAAATGGGACTCATATTGAGACATGTCGGAAAGCAATCGGGCCATGCCATCTAAGGCCTCCTGGAGCCGCGCCTGGATCCATCGGGCGTCCCCTGGATCCCTCGGGTGTTTCGCATCCCCACTCAGGACTATGGAATACCCCTGCGATGTGTCTTCAAATGATAACCCGCCTGTCCGAAACCCTTCGGAACAGCCTTCGACCGGCACATTGCGAATCACAGGGATGCAAACATGAAACACTATAGATATTTGGCCGAATTTGGTCAGCTGTGTCTTCTTGGGGCATTTGGCAGCACTTTTTTGTGGCCGCCGATTGCATGGTCTGGGGGGTTCTGGGATCGCTCTGACGGGACTCATGGTACGCTCAGGCGGGCGTGGGCCTGTCCGCAGAGCCCAGGGCCTTTAGGGGCTTCTGTAAACGCTCATCGGCTTTCCCAGAGTCCACGGGTTCCTCTTGGGATGCCTCTTGGGCGCCTTCTGGGACCAGTCTTAAAGCTTCTTGGAGCCTCTGTTGGGCCTCCTGCAGGGGTCTTGGAACAGTCTGGGGGCCTCTGTCAAAAATGAGGTGTCGCTTCGGAATTGTTGTGATGCTTGTTTCTTGGACCCCCCTTTGGGGTCCCTTTGGCCGCATCTCGGGGCGTACTGAAGCCTCTGAAGCCGTCTGGGAACCATCTTGGGGGTCTTGAAGCGCTCTTGGACCGTCCGAGAGGCCGCTTAGATCGTCTGGGGAACGCCCTCGGGCCCTCCGACAGCCCCCCGAAGGCCCCCTATGGATCCCGGGCCGCCAGGGAGGGGCACAGTGGGTACCAGGCGGTTTTTTTTAACTCTGCATCATGCCCTGGAGGTGCCACCAGGGAGAGCCAGTTTTGTCTGGCAAAGAAGGACCTGGGCGGTGGCCGACGCAGTGGACGGCGACCCCAGGACCAGCAGGAAGGAAGGAAGGAAGGCAGGAAGGAAGGAAGGAAGGAAGGAAGGAGGAGGAGGAGGAGGAAGAGGAGGAGGAGGAGGAAGAGGAGGGGGGGGGGGGGAAAGGGGGGGAGGAGGGAGCGAAAACAATGGGTACGAGGGGATGGGGGGGGGAAGGAGGAGGAGGAGGAGGAGGAGGAGGGAAGAGGAGAGGGAAGAGGGAGGAGGAGCAGGAGGAGGAGGAGGAGGAGGAGGAGGAGGAGAAGGATGAGGAAGAGGAGGGAGGGGAGGAGGAGGAAGATGAGGAGGAGCAGGAAAATGATGAGGAGGAAAAAGGAGGAGGAGGAGGAGGAGGAGAGGAGGAGGAGGAGGAGGAGCAGGAGGGGGGGAAGGAGGAGAAGGGACGAAAACAGTGGGTACGAGGGGGGGAAGGAGGAGGAGGAGGAGGAGGAGGAGGAGGAGGAGGAGGAGCGCAGTCTACCCGGCCAGTCGCTCAGGCCAGTCTTTCAAACTCCAATGGGATCTGCAGCGTCCCGCGCTCTATCGCAGCGTGCCATAGCACTCTGCACCTGTGGTCCGTCTTTGGGTGGCCAGCACGCACCGGGAGCGTGCACCGAACGGAGGGGGAGACACGAGGGCGATCGGGGGGGACTGTAGAAGGTGCGAGAGACTTCCAGAATTCCATGCGAAGCTGATACACAGGGCATGTGCAGGGGTCTCCTGCACCATGCCCTGAGAGGCAGCCGAGTTCCGCTGCCAGCGAGACAGAGCCGACGGGGCGTGACTCAACACGGGGGGCTCGAGCGCCTCGGCTCGCAAGCAAAACCACGCTGGTCACTTCGGCGTCTTGGTGGCCGGGTGTATGATCAGCGATGCTTTCTAAAAGTGGCTGGTGCACACGGAGGGAGGGGACTCATGAATTATGGCACGCCGGCCCGAGGTGCGTCGGCCAGGGGACAGCGCCTCGCTGGGCCGCGGGGAGAGCTCAGTAGAGCTTCTCGCAGCTCCAGCCTTTTGTGCCCGCCGCTGCAGGGTCGCACTCCCGCATGCAGCTGCCCCACTCCTTGTTTTTCAGGTAGCAGTAGTCGTCCTGGCCAGCGCAGAACTTGTGGACCCTGCAGTCCTGGCCGCGCAGGCCCCCCGTGGTCCAGTCGTAATCTTCGTCGACTGGCCCGGACGGCCCAGGAGTGCGGGCGCCGAACTCCTCACAGTCCCAGGGGTCTTTGTTGGCGTCGCCAGGCATCGACTTGTTCTTGGTGCAGTTCGTCCGGCAGCTGGCCCACGCCGAGTTCTTCTTGTAGCACTGGAAGCCGGCCTCGGCGCAGCACCGCAGGGCGGTGCAGTTCTGGCCGGACGCTGGGCAGTAGTCGGCGCTGGGGCGGAGCGAGTTGATGGCTGTGGCCTCCTGCGCGGCCAGCCGCACTAACGAGTGGCCCGCCCGCCCCGGGCCGCCGCGCGCGAGGAGGAGCAAGGCGGCCGTTGCCGCGGCGAGGGCCAAGAGGAGCGCGGCGGCGTTCGCCGGTCGGCTGAGGCGCGCGGGCCGCGGCTGCTCGGGCAGCAGCTCCATGGCCTCCTCCGCCTCGGCGCCGCGGTCGGATCGGTCGCCTGCCATGGCTGGCCAGCGGCTGGTCCGCGCGGCGCGGCGCCTGGCTGCTGCGCTCGGGGGGTCGGCGGGCTTGAGCCAAAATGGCTACGGAAGGAGGAGGAGGAGGAGGAGGAGGAGGAGGAGGAGGAGGAGGAGGAGGAGGAGGAAGGGGTCCAGTGCCGACCCAAGAAAACCACTCGCCAGGGCCGCCAGACTAATTAGGTGCGCCTTGCTCGCCTCCCCCCCCTCCCTCTCCCTCCCCCCCTCAGCCACAGGGCGCCTGTTCGCACGGTTAAAAAGTGTAGCTTTTCGAACTCGTTTTTATTCGACCTCCCTTTCCGTCCACTGGCAAAGACTCCACTGTCTCCGTAGACGACTTCTCCTCACTCTGTTGCGATCCTTCCCTCTGGCCCCTGGGGCCCGAAACCATGGTTGTGCCACCCTGACCACAATCCATGTGAACCACGCCCCATGTAAGGATTCCCCAGGGAGGACGTACGCGCCAGGCTACGTATGTGAATATATCCGAAGCTTGCGAATCGCACTCATGTTACGGACGCTCGAGTGACGCGGTGTCTTGAAAACCACGCGAATGTAGGCACGCTAAGCCATCGGTCGTAAAAAGTAGGCAATACCATTTAGTACGAAGACGTTCCCCTCGCCCTCTGCAGAGGAAGGACGAAGGACACGCACTCGATAATTGAAGTACCTTGGAAGGCGCCTCGAGCAAAACAGAAACCGGGAGCCCCACAGACACCCACTCTCAGCGACAGCACCCCTCCTCGTCTCGCTCCTGGCCCCCCCCCCCCCTCGTGGCCTTCCCCCTCCCAAAGACCCACGAGGCCGTGTTCTCTCACCTCGACCCCGATGAGAGGCCTGTTTTCCACCACCACCACCATAAGTTGGAGGGGGGAAGGAGGTGGAGGATGAGGAGGAGGAAGAGGAGAAGGAGGAGGAGGAGGACCCCCTCCCCCTCCTACTTATGGTGGTGGTGGTGGAAAACAAGCCCATCACCCGAGGCCTGGGCCCCTTCCCCGCGACCGGCCTCTCCTCCCGCGCCATCCTCGCATGGCCCAAGAGGCCCGGCCAGGGCCCCGAAGGCCGAGAAGACCATATGGCGAACGCGACCCCGCCGCGATATCTGGCCACGGCGCGAGGTGGCCACGGGGCCCATGGCCGCCCCCGGCCCTCCCGACCCCTCGGGCGCCCGGGGCAGCCTGTGAGCTTCTCCCCCCGCTCGAGCTTCAGCGCCCGCTCGAACGCCTCGGCCCGACCGGCACCCCGCCAGGGGCCCCAGGCGGCGCCGCCCCCCTGCCTGGGCCGCGGGGGTCCCGGCCGCATCGTGCGAGGCCCTGCGACGCAGGCCCAGATGGAACATCACACGGTGTTGTATGGCTACCGGTGGCCACAGAAACATGGAGGATCACACGTTGTTCATGGCAACCGTGTTTGTATGGCCAATACTTCCGTATGAGCACTGGAAGCAATGGCAGAAACATGTGATGCTCCATCTGAGGAACTGACCCCCATAATGGCTCCGCAATGGTGCCCAAGAGGCCTCCCATCTATCTCTCCAGCACGGGCATGGCTGCGCCTTCCCCCCAGGCCGGATCCGAGGAAATCTCGATCAAAAAAACGACGATTCAACGGGGTCGGAGGATGTGGCGCCAGCCTGCTGCACCGTGCAAGGAGGGGCGCCCTGCGGCGCGGGCCCCGGAGGAAACGGACCCCGTGACTTTCGCCCAGTCCTGAGGCTAAGGCGAAGCCACAACGAGGATAACATCGGGTGAGGATACATCGAGAATCTCTGAGATCCCGTGGCACTGGAGAACGTCTCGGGCGCCGCGGCCTTCTCGGAGCTTTCCGGAACGCTCTGAGAGAGTGTTCCAGAACGCTCTGGAAGGAATCCCATCAGCCCTTTGGGCGCAGGTGGTCTAGGGCGGCTCCTCTCCACCCCCCTTCTTCCCCTTCGGGGAGGGGTTCATCACTGTTCCTTAATGATATTCACCCCCTCCCCCAGGTGACCGGGGGCCAACTAAGCACCATGCCGACACCATGCCGACCCGCCCCACACCATCCCGGTCAAAAAACAATACAACCCGCACTCTGCCTCCACATTTGGAGCATGCGCGGCCAACCCGATGAGCCCCCCCACCATCCCTGTCAAAAGACGATGCAAAGTACACTTTGGGGCAAAGTCTTGAGTCATGTTCGTGAGGCCCGCGAGCACTTTGTATTGCTTTTGACAGGGACGGCGGGGTGTCAGCATATTCCCTGCTGCACGCAGGGCTACCATCCCTGATACAGAACCAATACAACATGCATCTCGCGGCTAAATCTGGATCATGCGCGGCCATCCCGCGATCACTGTCAAGTTGTTTTTGCCAGGGACGGCGGGGGTGGTGGCGCGTGGCCTGCTGTGCGCAGACACACCAGACACAATGATGGGCATCGGTTTTCGACAAGGATGGTGGGGGCCGACATGTGTCCCGATGTGTGCTGTCACGTGCGCAGGCGAACCTGACGCACTCTGCGCGTGCCCCGAACGCGGCGCACCTGGCGCGGCTGGAGTGCGGCACACCTGGCGCACTCGGAGCACGTGGCGCATCTGGCGCACCAGGCGTGCCTGGCACGCTCGGGCCCCAGGGGTGCCTGGCGCGCGTGGCGCCCCTGGCACGCGTGGCGCACCTCGCCCAAGCGTCGCGCACCTGGGGTCGGCTTTGGTTCCCAGAAGCTGTTCATCCAAAGACGACCGCTGAACATGCTCAGGCTCGGGTGTTACTTGTGTAGGAAAAAACGGGTGGCAGTGAGCTAAAGGCTTGCGGGCGGGCGGGTAGCTTGACCCTCCCCCTCCCCCTACCCCCTCCCCTGAACCTGGACGGGGTCGGTCGCGAGCGGTCAAAGCGTCCAAAACGGCCTCGGCGAGGAAGCAAAAATCATAGGCTGTATTATGCTGTTGGCCCATTTGGGCCTTTTGGGGGGGGGGACGCTAATTGGAGCTCCCCCCTTGGTTGATCGATCTCCTCCTAGATGGCCCCAAGAGCGCCCTCCCAAGAGCGCCCCAAGAGAGCCCCAAGAGGCGCCCAGACGGCCCCAAGAGGCGCCCAAGAGACCCCCAAGAGACCCCCAAAAGGCTTCAAGAGGATCCCCGATGCACCCAAGCCGCATCGTCGATGCATCGGCGATGCGACGGGGTCCTCCGACCCCATCTACTCCGACCCCATCTAGGAGGCCCAGATTTTAAGGGGGGAGGTGGGGTTCACTTCGCTCTCCTCCTTCTGCGTCTCACGGCCCCTCGGCTGGCGTGCTCCGCGGAAGCTCGCGGCGAGCCCGTAGATCTGGTTGCGTACTGGACATAAAGCAACGGGTGTTTTGCCATCTTCGGCCTCTGGGGCCTTCGCTGGGCCTCAGGGTCCTGGACATAACGACGCGCGAGGAAAAAATGGCCCTTGGGAACGGGTCGGGACTTCCAGGGTACCGTTTGGAAAAGACAAGACTTCGCATGCCTCGGGAGGGATCACAGATGAGAAGTGGCCTAGAGAGACAGAGGGTGGGTGGGAGATAAGTAGAAGAAGAAACAACTGCAAAACTTTGGGCGCTCCGCGCGGATTTCTTGCATCTGCGCTGGACCCCCTCCCTGGCGCGCGGAGCGCGCCAAGGGCGGCGCCGGAGGCGCCGCCAGCGGTGCTCAGCGCAGATATAACAAAATTCGCGCGGAGCGTCTAACGTTTATGCGTATGGCTTCTAGTCTTCGTCGAATGAGGGAGCGGCCAGTGGATATTGAGAGGGAAAGGGGAAGAGAGAGAAGAAACATGAGAATATAGGCGAGAACGAACCGTCTGACAAGAGGAGGGCGCCGTGGCGATCGATACAAGATCTGGACACGCGTGAGCAAACTCTGGCCAAGTTCAGAATCTTGGCAGCGTATTGGGCTTCGTGCGTTCTGCAGGAAAAGCACCAAACGTCCCTCGGTGGTATCCTGGACGATATCATGCATGCGCTATAGAGGCAAGTGGATGCAAGCGGCGGGGAAGCGCTACTGCACAAACCTGAATGGCCCATCAATGCTGAACACAACCGCTTTCTCCTCCTCCATGGGCCCATCCTCCTCATCCTCGTCATCCTTCCTTGCCTCCTCCGCCCTCTGATAATGATGTTCCTGCCCCGCCCACTCTTGCATTCTTCCCGTGCTTCATAGTCACTCACTCGTTCGTCCAATCTCTCTCTCTCTCTATCCCTCTCCCACTCGATCTCTCTCTCTCTCTCTCTCCCTCTCTCTCTCTCTCCTCTGTTCATCCCAATCAGCCTGGTCGCCCTTGACTCGCGTCGTCTTGACGGCGATATCCGCGAAGATCCCCGGGTGGGGGACACCAGGAGGATGGCCCGAGCGAGAGGCAGCGAGGGGGAGGCGGATGCCCGAGGGGCGACGACGAGCAAGGAGGGGAAGAGAAGCCTGCCGGGAAAGGCCGGCCCCTTTCGGCGTGAAGGACGCGGGCATCGAGGCCCTTGGGAGACGTGCGGGGCAACGATTAGTGGGGGACTGGCTCCAGGGGGGGACACGTCGACGTGGCATCGGCGACACCTCGTCGACTGATCGGCGATAGGCTCTCGATAGCGACACCGCACTGTCCTGGGCGGAGTGGGCTAGCAAACCCCTGTCGGCGATCAATGGTCGATTGAGGATCGACGCGTACCCTGGGAGCGCATTCCCTCCTTTTAACGTTGCAACTGAAGACGGCCCTGGTCCCCGGGGCTTTCCAGAAAGCACAGCTCTTCATCCTGAACCGTGTTGTGACGGTCCTGGGGCCTGTGAAGGGAACAGGGATGGCAAAAGCGGCGAAGCCCACATCCTTCAGAACCAGGCGGATCCAATCGGAGTGAGCGCCAGATGGGGCCGCATCGGCACGAAGCCGGAATCGAATTGGATCGGCGGCACAAGGACGCACGACAGCGCCATGCAAGCGGATCGAATTCACATACATACATGTGTACCATTATTGATTCCCCAAACAATGATTTTACCTAACGATTCTTACCTGGTCTCAAAAGAATGCTGCGCATGGGTGTTGGTCTGACCCGCTTGTTGGAACCGTCGCTGCCCGTGGTCGGCACTGCTTCTGCGACTGGGTGTCGGTCGCCGCGCTTACTGTCGCCGCCGCCACCCGTCTCCGCCGTCCGTCGCCGCCCGCTGTATTGCAATCGCAGGGCATCGCATTTGCGTTCGATTGCGTTACATTTGATTGCTTTGCATCATATTGCATTGCTCTGAACCGCTTTGTGGTCGCTTCCCATTGCTCTGCCTGGCTTTGCATTGCATCACATTGCGTTGCCTTGCTTTGTATTGCTCTGCTTTGATCTACATTGCTCTGCATTGCTCTGCAGTGGTTTGCAATGTGTTTCATTGCTGTGCGTTGCTTTTCAATGCGCTGCTTCGCATTCTATTGCACGTGTTTGCGTTGCTTTGCTGGGCTTTGTATCCCTTTGCGTTACGTTGTGTTGCGTTGCTTTGTTTTGCATCGCATTGCACTGCCGTGCATCGTGTTGCGCTGCATCGCATTGCATTACTTTGCATTGCTGTGCAGTGCTCTGCCTCATTTCTGCGCGTTGAACTGCATTTCTTTGCATTGCTTCGCATGGCCATACAGTGCGTTGCATTGCTCACTGTCGCTTTAGATCGCATGGCATGGATTTGTACTACTTTAAATTGCATTGCTTTCCACTGCTCTGAACTGATTCGCGTGTCTTTGCATTGCTTGCACTGGTTTGCATCGTAGTACACTGATATGCAATGCGTTGCATTGATCTACATTGCTTTGCATAGCTCTGCATTGCATTGACTGGCTCGACATTGCCCTGCTCTGCTATACATTGCTCTGCCTCTATTTGCATTGGTTTGCATTGCTTTGCTCTGCATTGATCTACATGGATTTGCACTGATGTGCATTGCTTTGATTTGCTTTGCTTTACATGGCCTTGCATGGCTGTACATTGCCTTGTATTGCTTTGCATTCCTTTGCATTGCGTTGCACCACGATTCTGAACCACACGTATTGCACCACCTAGATTCCACCGCATAGTTTGTTAGACAGCACCGTAGCTCATTATTGTATATATAGATATGAAAATATGTATACATGTGTGTTCGCATGTGCATTTATATATATGTATATATATATATATATATATATGCACGTGTACGTATATGTATATAAATATGAATATATGTATGAGATCGGTATCGATGCGGGAAAAGCCGTCCGAAATCGATACCGACTGGCCCTGCTTGGCGACCTGTGGGCAATGGTGCAGGGGCGACGAAGAGGGGCCGGCAGAGGGGGAGAGCCGCTCTCTCGCTCTCTCTCTCTGCGCAGCCCGC